TTAGATACAAGTTATTAATATTTGTTCATTTTGTTGCTTTAGAACATTAAAAGCTCTGGCTCTACTTAGCAATCTTTTTTTTTCTTTCAAAGACGTAACATGATGTCAAATGAAAATAAATTTAACAAATTCTATTCTGATTTAAAACAGCAAAATGTAATTTATTAATGGTCTCATTCTGCAAATCAATGTTGATTAAATTTACAAATACATTGATCATAAATATTAATATAATGTTAATAAATTTTTTATAATAAAAATTAATTTCTTATTCATCAAAAATCATTATGTAATAAAAATTGTTCCTGGTTTTACATTATTACCATACTTACTGACATTAAAACTGCTACAAAAACATCAGAAAAGAAGGCTTGAAGCGTTCTTTTAAGTTTAAAAATGTACGTCAGAGAGAGGAGTATAACAAAATAAATTACTTCAATGATTAGGTTGTGCGTGTGTGTGTTTGTGTGCGTGTGTTTGTTTGTGTTTGCCTGTGTCTGTTTTTGTGTATATCATACATCATACATCAGCACAACAACACTCAGGATTACTCAACATATCAATTGTACATACATGCCAGCAAATATAAAAAATTGCATCCTATACATAAAATGTAAAAACTATTTAAGCCTGTAGAAAATTTTTATGTATTACATTACACATATATAAAGCTACTAGCCTACTACAATACATGTTATATGATATAAATAAATAAATAAATATATATATATATATATATAGCATAATAGAACATTTAAGCATGATAGAATTGAAAAGTTTTTTCGGTATTCCTATACCATCTTCGTTGTTCGATATATATATATATATATATATATATATATATATATATATATATATATATATATATATATATATACTTGAGCATCTGGCCACATACACAACGTACCAATTCAAACACTGAAGATGGTATAGGAATGGCGAAAACAGCTTTTTTGTCAGATGTTAAATCAGTTACGACGGGTGTCCTTCAAGGGTCAGTTTTAGGACCTGTTTTGTTTTTGTTTCGAAATTAGATATTGCTAAAATAATAAATTCCCATAGATTTGACTGCCATGCATTCCCTGATTAATAATAACAACTGGCGGGCCGGAGTTTTTCTAAGCAGAGGTTGAGGCTAAGGAAAATTGTTTACCGAAAATTGGACAGTGGATGTCAGGTAGTTCTCTGAGGTTGAATCAGTCTAAAACTCAGTTGTTCCAAATGGGGACCAAGAAACATTTGTCAATGTTTAATAAGGATTGGTGGAGTTAATTTAGTTTTTGCTTCAACAACGTTGAATCTGGGCGCCTGATTCGATAATAGGTTCACAACGAAGCACCATATTAAAATGCTATCAATCAGGAGCGTGATTCAGATAAAAAAATCATATAAAATTTGACATTATTTGAATAAACCTCCATTAGAAACGGTAGTCTATGCTTCTATAACATTTCGTTATAACAGCTTGTTTTTATAGTTGCTTGACGAATTAATTGCTACAATACAGTCAATTCAGAATCGGGCTAATGAAGACTGAAGAGTTTGAAATTTGACCACATGACTCCGCTTTTGAATGAACTTCACTGGTTAACAATATATCAATAATAGAATAATCTTCAAAATTGGTGTACTAGTGTTTCGTTCATTGCCTGATTTGGCACTTGAGTATCTATCAAACAAGTTGATTCGCAAGACAGCTGCACTGTAATATAGTTCTTTATGAAAGTCACAGCATTTTCAGCGTTGCATAATTTTCTATTTAATTTTTCAATCTTTCTTACGATGAATTTCAGTTGATTATTGAGTTTATTTAAGTGTTACACAAAATTAGTGCCTATGTTTGAAACAGAAAAGCTTCTTTCGAAAATTCATATATCTATTACCAATGTTAATTTACGTATTGTTTATATCCTTATAAAACTTATTGTTACTTCCTTCCTAGGCTTATTAAGTTTCTACGAGTTCTTTTTTATCTCTTCGTGTGAATTAAAATATTTTGTATGAGTTCTTCTCTTTGTGTGTCGTCTCGGTAAAGTCAATTACTAATTTTCTGGAATGGGAGAACGCCAGTGGTCCTTGTTCAACACACACACACATACATAATTACATATATACATGCATACACACACATATCAAATTGTTTTACTTACGATAACCTTGTAAACTGGAATGCTTACTCAATGTTACTTTTTCCATCAATGCTTTGTTTTCTTAGAACATGCATTGCATGCATTCATATTGCATGCACACAAACATACATATCAATTTATAAATAAATGGGGAGAACTTTTTGCTCTATGCACACATACAATGATATATACAAAGATTAAAGATAAATACATATGAACTTACACACATATACATACATACATTTATACATAAATACTAACATTCAGACATACATACATACATACATACATACATACATACATACATACATACATACATACATACATACATACATACATACATACATACATACATACATACATACATACATACATACATACATACATACATACATACATACATACATACATACATACATACATACATACATACATACATACATACATACATACATACATACATACATACATACATACATACATACATACATGCACGCAAACACACACGCATACATTAATTAATTGAAGTACTTTTTCTAAAACAGTTGAGATTAAAAAACAAAGAATAAACTGGATATAAAATATCTAAAACTATCAAAGTATTTTGGATTCTCAACTTATTGAAATAAGTACATACATAATACTTCTGTACTTAAATATTTATTAAGGAGTGGTAGTGGCAGCGGCTAAAGCAGCAGTAGTAAAAGAGGTGAAGGTAAAAGCCACAATAGAAATAAATTAAAACTAAAATTAAAACTAAAATTAAACCCCAAATAAAAAAAGGCAAAATAAAACCCAAAGCTTTCATTATTCATATTATTATACTTATTCTTCTTTTCATTGTCATTATTATTATTGTTATTTTTCGTAAACAAAAAGGTTTCCATTCTTTCTCACAATTCAACATTGAATAGTAATAATTAAGGAAATACCTCGTGTTAAAAGCAAGAGATGCAATTCATTATTCCAAATTTTTCCTTTGTTAAAGACCTCTGCTTTCCATTTTAATATATTCTTCTTCTTATTATTGTTGTTGTTATTATTATTATTATTTATAATTAGTGTGTATTGTTGGTTGTTACTGCAACTTTTTTGTTTTTATTTTTGATTTAAAATCATACACAATGCTGAGCTGGTTATTTTGGGTTCAACAATAAAAAGCAACAACAACACGATGACAACAACAACACGATGACTCACTGATCTAACAAACGCTGATCATCATTAATATGAGAGCAATTATTTGTTAAATTGTTTGCACATAACTAATTTTATTTTTGGTTTTACGTTGTTTTATTCTTTAGTTACAAAATTGATTAATTCGTATTCTACAATATTGTTAATTATTAAATGTCTTTAGCTGGTTGAGACTGGCGTTTATAAAGGTAGTTTTGTTAGTATGCTATCATTGTTTGAAATATTGGAAAATTTGTAAATTATTGAGAGTTATAAATATTTTTGGATGATTTTGTTATTGTTTCTTTCTTGTCTATATTATATACATTTACGTTAACTTATTCATGCGAATACAAATCTGTAAAGAAAAGGATCATCAGCCATTAAATATTTGTGAATTTGTTTAAAATAGTGATTTTATTACATAAGTGATGCGTGTGTATGTGCGTGTGTGTATGTGTTTGTATGTGTGTGTGTGTGTTTATGTGTATGTGCGTATGTGTACGTGTGTGTGTGTGCGTATTTGAACATAAATTTTGCATTTTTTCCAAAGCAGAGTTCTCATTTCTCAAAAGAATCTTATCAGAGGATCGCGAGGTTATTACATCATATACATGTTATAAACAGACGTATATATATATATATATATATATATACATATATATATATATATATATATATATATATATATATACTACTATATTACGGCAAAGGTATATATATATATATATATATATATATATATATATATATATATATATATATGTATAGTATATATATATATTCACAATGTATTACAGATATATTGCATGTATATGGATATATATTGTAATGAAAAGGATTAGGATGAAGCAAGCATTTCCGATTACTTTAGTTTTGCTAAAGAAGTGAGTTTGAATTTGTTGTGGATTGCGATGATGATGACGATGATTGTGATGATGACGGTGATGATGTTGATGATGGTAATGATGTGATAATATTGATATGTGATGATGAAGAAGGAGGCAATGATGTTCTTAAAAATGTAAGAGGGATGTTATTTGATTGTCGGTCATTCTATTTGAATCATCATCTTACGTGTTTGCGCTTTCAAATGAAACGACTGTTCGCATTACGGTCTGCGTTATTTTGTGTGGTGTGTATTGTTGTATTCAAATTGTGCGTATTGTTGTATGCGGTGTTTGTATTCAAAGTTCACGGACGTGTTTTCTTGTCAGGTGTCTGTTATTTTTTGTTTCATTTGTCGTCGTTGTTGTTGTCTGTTAATGAATAATTTAGATGGAAAATTTTAAGAACAGGTTATTAGCTACGTTTCCGACTTACTTAATGAAAGTTTATTTGTTATTCTGATTGGCTTCAATGTTTCAAGTTACTGCACATTTAATGATCCTTGATGTTTGATAATGTTGAGTTTGCCGCCTTGTTTATTATTTCCAAGTGTAATTGGAATAATAATTTTTTTTTAGGAATCTTTAGGATTATTCTCTTTAGCAACAGCTACAGCAGTCTAAAACTTCAGCAACAACAAGCAACAGTGCCAGCAACAACAACAACACATCCTATAAAACAACAACAAAAGCAAACCACTTTCGGGATTTAAAAAAAAAATTGGAAATTTGAACAAAATATCTGATCACATCACATCACTACATCTACTAAACCGAGGATTTAGTGAGTGAGTGAAGGAAAGAAAAAATGGAAGACGCCCACACAAAACACGTGGACGAACTTCTGACCTACTTTCAAACTTGCCCTGAAACCGGTTTGGATGATGAGCAGGTCAGCTGTAACCAGGAAAAGTATGGGCCGAACGGTGAGTTACAGTGAGTGAACGAATGAGTGAGTGAGTGAGTGAGTGAACGAATGAGTGAGTGAATGAGTGAGTGAGTGAGTGAGTGAGTGAGTGAGTGAGTGAGTGAGTGAGTGAGTGAGTGAGTGAGTGAGTGAGTGAGTGAGTGAGTGAGTGAGTGAGTGAGTGAGTGAGTGAGTGAGTGAGTGAGTGAGTGAGTGAGTGAGTGAGTGAGTGAGTGAGTGAGTGAGTGAGTGAGTGAGTGAGTGAGTGAGTGAGTGAGTGAGTGAGTGAGTGAGTGAGTGAGTGAGTGAGTGAGTGAGTGAGTGTGCGTGAGTGAGTAAGTATTAGTGAGTAAGTGAGTAAGTGAGCGAATGAATGAATAAATAAATGAATGAATGAGTGAATGAATGAATAAAGTATTAAATAACAGAATGCTTCAGTGGGTGAATGAGGGAATGAATGAATAAAAGTTAGAATGAATTAAATTTTCAAGGAAATTATATCTATATTAAAGTATGCTTCTAAATGTTCTATTTAGTTTAACTTTCAATATTCAATAATTAAATTAAAGTTAATAAATAGTTTAATTTCAAAAAACATTATTAATTTATTAAACGATATTACCAAAAAATATTTACCGGAAAAACCTTTCTCCAGTTTTTTCACCAAATGGTTTTTTATGTTGCATCTTTGATTGTTTGAGGATGAAAGAATATAGAAAGAGGAAAGAAGTGTAGTTGAACCTACCTACCTCGTGCAAACCAATTACCATCCAATTTTATACAATAGGAATAGGCATACCATTATAGGCATATTTAAAATTATACGTAAATATTTAAATAAATATTATTATAATTATTATTGTTGTTGCTGTTGTTGGGACTATAATTATTATAAATATTATAATTATTTTTATTATTACAAATACTTTTTACATTTTTACAGAGTTGCCCGTTGAAGAAGGTTAGGATGATTTATTTTTACTTTCATTTATTTAATTCACTCAATTTCACTGTTATTATTTCATTATTATTGATTAATTTATTTATTAATTAATTATTAATATACCAATCTGCCATGTGAGGTGTACACTTTCAACCAGTTTCCTAAAAATTTTTAGAATATTTATAAGTACTGGGCTGGGCTTGGTACATAATAAGTACTTAATAGTACTTAAATAAGTACTCCTTATTTATTGCAATATTTCAAATTAATTATTACAAATCTCCCTCGATATTCTCCAAAAGCCTCCCTCAACAACAAGCACACATGTGTATGTAGGTAGAAGATGCACGTGAAACATCTCGACTCATCACACACGCACATTCCAAGTGATCGTTCGAGATCTCTCTTGGAATCGAATCCGTTCAGTGCAATGTACAATAAATACATGATTAACAACAATTCGGAAATTAATTAACGTTAATAATAATAATAAAAAAAAACTCCTTTATTTATCAAAAGCCAAAATCAAATAATGAGATTAAATTGTAATAAAATGTTTAAAAAACAAATAAATAAAAGAGAATAAAATATTCAAATCAAATTAAATGTACGATCCACCCATCCTCAATGCTAATGACAAGTGTATGGGCGTGAGAGTTATATTTAACGAGCAAATAGCACTGTTTATTAGGTTAAAGTTGAAAGAACTTGGACATGAAAATTTAAATAGCGATAAATTAAAATTATTGAAGAAACCCATTTGGCAACAAGACAAACAATTGTAGAACAGTCGATATATTCATTATTTAGATATGTATTTAAATTTAGATATTTTTACCGTTTGTATTGTTTTGATGAAAGCAGATTAGTTTCATTGCATATCGTCAGCTCCAGTACCTCAGTCTTGTTGCGCCGCATAATGGCAAGGTCCGGAGGTTGCGTGTTGAATAGGCATGACATTGGACGGATGCCTTTCATTTCCAAATCCGCAAATAAGCAGCAGTCATTTGGAGCCTGTAACCTCAACTCCTCTTTCATCAACGCCAGTACTTTATCACGTCTGTCTGTGCATCTCTTCAGAGCCAATGTTGAAACACAGTTTGACACTACATTTTTATTTGTTTGGCGAACCTTACATAGTAGATACAAGGGAGTTTTGGTTTTGCCCCATTTAAACAAATTTGAATTAGTGAGCAGTTGTTGAATTATGTACTTCCTTGCTAATCTGTAGAGCATCCAAGACATGTCATCAATAGTTTTCAGCCAACAAGTTATTTGTGCTGGAGTAATGAGTTTGCCAATTGACTTGAGCACCGTGCCATGAGATGGAAGTCCAACTCATGTGGATGGTTGAGACATGACTTTACTCCGGTCTCATTCAGAAGTTCGAGGGACTGCTTTAATGAGCCAGTTTCAGTCAGAGAACTGTTCGGCTTGACAAAGTTTGAAGAGATTTCGTGCCATAAGCATTGGGTTTCTTCATTATTGCTATTCTTTAAATAGCTGCGAACATTCATATTTGTTTTTTATGCAGTGTCTCTTAGTGACATAATACTATTTATTACCTCCGAGTTTCTTCGGTAATGAGAGCACCTGCACTACACATCCATTGATTGGCACTGCGAGCCACGCCTTGACTCTACTTACAATCAGGTTATCTAGGTTGGACGATACCCATACTGGTGAGAAATTGTACCAAAGTAGCTCGAATTGAATTTGTGCTGGGATAAAGTCGCGTAGTTTTTCAAGTTTTTGTTGCAGTTTGACGTCCAGACCAGAGGTGATCTCCAGCTATTCGGTCAATTTTGAGACAATTTCCTTCTTGGACTTAGTATCTTTTTTTTCAAAATCATACAATCTACCCAAGTGAACGAGACTGTTTCCAATTTCTATGTTGGAAATGACATAAAAATGATAATAATAATAACAACAATAATAATAATGATGATGATGATAACAAATAAAAGGAAGAATAACAGTCTGGCTATATTAAATAAAGATGATTGATAACATAAACGATAATATCAATCTAGTTTGACAAAAATAATAATAATAACAACAAAATAATTATAAATATAATAAGAAATAACAAAACAACACAATAATAATTGTCATAAAAACCCGTAGCAACAACAACAGTAACAACATTAACACTGTTTAAAACCCTTCACTAGTAAAATCTGAACTCAAAATACCGCGAAAAGACGCATGCAATCTATTAAAAGATACATATAAAGTGCAATAAACATCACTACTAGTATCATCATCATCATCATCATCATCACCATCGCCATCATCGTCATCATCATCATCGCCCTCATCGTCATCATCACCATCATTGTCATCGGCATCAACATCATCATCATAAACATCATTATCATCATCATTATCATATTCATCATTATAAAATCATTACCATTGTCATCATTAGAAACATCATTACTATAATCATTACTACCATTGTTTCTAGAATTATTTTCTTCATAAATGTGAGCATCATCACTTTAAAACATAACATCACAATCACAGTCATTTATTTTTATCATAGGTACATATCATCATTAACATTATTACATCATCGCATTTCAGTTATATACACACACAGACACACCAAACACACAAACACACATACACCAAACACACAAACATATCAAACACACACATACACACCACACATATCAAACACACACACCACACACATCAAACACACACACACATACATCAAACACACACATACACCATACACACACACATCAAACACACACACATATACACAGACCAATCACACACACAAATCACACACCAAATCACACACACAAATACATCATTCAGTATGGGAACCTTTTAAATTTTAATTGAATAGACGCTTAGAATTGTTGTCAGTCACCGCGAACATCATCAGAAAATGTTGATGTTATTTATTGCCATGGCTTGGAATGTTTGTCTGGTAATGCAAGAACACCAAGCAAGACCGACACAACATCAATTCATCGCAATCACAAAGGCAACAAAATAACAATGACATCAACAAAAATGTCAATATCAACAATGACAGCAACAACAACACCAACAACAACAACATCAACAACAACAACATCAACAACATTAACAATGACAACATCATCATCAAATCACAACAACACCAACAAAAACATTAACAACAACAATACAACCTCCATAAACAAAACATCACAACAACGCAATACGCCCGACTTCATTTTTTTTTCTTCCCGGCTAATTCAGTAACTACTTTTTTACTTTCCTAGTTCGGATAACGTCTGAAAATTACTACCGCTTATTATTTGTGTTATACACTGTTTCTTAATTTTATTTTATTATTTTTTTTGTTAATAATATTATTTTTATTACGTTAAACAAAGGCGAAGACAATTTTAAAACAATAAAATAATTAATAAAATAATAATACTGAATAAAATAATTAATGTTCTTCTAAGTCAAATAATGTATTAAACCTTGTTTTTATTTTAATTATTATTGTCATTATTTAAACCATTATTAATACAACAATTATAATTTTTTTCAAAATTAGTTTTAATAATATTAGCAACAGTTCATTTAATTAAATTAATAAAAAATATTTTAAGCGAGAATAAATACATACACTGTAGTTTATTGAAATAATGTCATCGCCATTCGTTATGTGATATATATAAATAACATTCACATGCAGACAATAACATCAACTAATATAACATCAACACAAGGTCTGTCTATAAAAAAATAAATAAATCTATGGTTATTTTTAGTTGCAACATCAACAACACACACGCACACACACACGCACACGCACACACACACGCATATATATATATATATATATATATATATATATATATGTAAACCATCACGCAGCTCTTTTTTCCTAATCTTCACTTTAATTTTTTTTTAAATCTTTATAAGTATGTATAGCAATTTTTTTCATGCTTAATTAACTCTACAAATGTTCATACAGTAAATTTCAACTAGATTATAGAGCCATGACAATAGAAATCACTTTTCAGCGTAGTTCGCCAAACAGCATTTTGACTATTTCAACGGATTTATGCCCAAGCAGCATGGACATTGTCTCATGCATAAAATTTATCTCATGATTTTGATTAATCACTTATTTGTTATTCCATGCCCTTGAAATGAAAAGAGATCCCTTAGTAATGAATAGGAGAAATATTATTCTAGTCAGTTAGCATTATCTGTTACTTTCCCTATAACAATAATTTATTGTTTTTTGAAAAAAGAAAGATACACTTTTCTATCTTTAGTATCATAGTAGTATTGTAGTATTAGAATTGTGAAACATTGCATCATTGTATTGTATTATCTAATTCTTAGTAATGTATTAGCAGCCGACAACATAGTAATATAGTACTAATTAATTTATAAAAAGAAGATAGTTAGTAAAAGTATAAATGTACAGTGCAGTACTTAGAAATGTGTGAATACTATCAATAGATAGAATTGTATGATAGTTGTACTAATGTATTGTTTTTACTATTCAGCAATGTGCTAATAGCAGTACTAAAAGTATAGTACCTACTTAATAATGTTAAACATGATGCTACCCTGTACGCTGCATGTATTGGGAAATATAAATACATTTCAATTGCCTGCAATGCTAAGCCAATCTTCTATCAAAGAGCATTTTATCTCTGAAACATACGTACGTACGTTTATTTCTGGTTATTTAATTGCTCTGCATATGTGCATAGATTAAAAAAAAGTTAAATATTAGGACCCATATATATACACAAACACATACACACATTCACACACACACTCTTACACGAACACGCACACACACATACACGCCTATTCACAGACAAATATCATTTATATATACTTATATATCATAAAATACTGAATGCAAGTACTGTAGAATTAATTACTAAACCAACAAAATAAACAAGAGAGCCATTAAACCACAGTGTTCCTTCTAATAAATGTTCATCCATTAGGAACATCTAGCAAAAATTATTTATACACGAATAAGTAAATGATTGTTATCCTCACATGCATCAACATTAAAACCTTTTTTTCGCAGAATAACGTTCACAAAAATAAGAAATAAGTATAATAGAAATAATAATAAACTCAATTATTATTACTTTTGTTATTACTGTTGTTCGTTTTTACGAGTTCACTAACACAGCCAGTTTTTAGATAGCCCTCAGACTCATAGAGATTTGTAAATAAGTTAAGCTTAGCTAATGCATAAACGAAAACCTATGTACGGAAACAAACGTGCAGACAGAAGCACATACAAACGCATACTTAAACTAACACTTTCACACTTCCAAAATCACTCAAACTCACTCACAAGAGACACACATACAAGCAAATAAACAAACTTAAACATGCAAACATCTAAACATACAAACACATACACACTCACAAACACATACACACACGAGCAAATAAACAAAGTTAAGCATACAAACCTAAACACACCTAAACCTAAACAAACCTAAAAACACACACACGCATAAACACATATACACACACACACACACACACACACACACACACACACACACACACACGTTCCTTTACATTCTTTATTAGATCAAAACGCACGCGTAAAAAGCAAATATAAATGGATAGAAAGAAAGAAAAAAAAATGTGATGGAGGAGGTATTTCATTTCTGTAGCGCAGAACAATTTACTACCTACGATTACGTTTCTCAGCTTGGTTTGCTATCAAGTACATATCATTTCTCACAAATCATCCTCATCATCATCATCATCATCATACTTTTCAACATTCATCATCATTATCACCCATTATCGTCATCATCATCGTCTTCGTCATCGTCGTCATCATCATTATCATCAACTTTTTCCTCTTCAATAACATCATCATCAACGCCACTTTCCCCATTATCTCTGTTCTATTATTAGCAATAGCAGCAAGAATATTTGCGTATAATAATTATATACATTCATGACATTTCCAAACAATGTCATTGTATGTGTGTGTGCGCGTGTGTGTGTGTGTGTGCGCGCGTGTGTGTACGGGTGTTTAGTTTAATGTCAAAATACTTTATTAATCTAATCTGATTATAAAAAAAAATTTTACTTATTAACGCTCGTGTGTATATGTAAAAATTATGTATATACATTATAGATTGCTTGCACATTCAACATTTGTTTGTTTATGTGTAAGTATGTGTGTGTGTGTGTTTGCATATATATGCCTGTGTGTATTGTGTGTGTATATGTATATATATATATATATATATACGTGTGTGTGTGTGAATGTGTGTGTGTATGCAGGCGTGTGTGTAATTTATCCAATTTCAAAAAATTAATCAGAGATGATTTTTTTACATTTAAAAGAATATTTCATAAACCGTATTATCGAATGTTGCATCATCTTCCATCACGTCATCTGGCCATCAAGAGATTTATTAAAGTTTATAAGTACATATAATAAATTAAATAAAAGTCACACTGCTTAATTTCGTGTGACCAGATGACATTCTATAAGTATCGAGTAACAACACATGCACTACAATATTTTTTTCGTCATCATAAACATCAACAGCATCATTATCATCATCAGCGTCATCATCATTATCAGTGTCATCATCATTATCATCATCTACATCATCAGCTTCATCAACCATCATCGTCATCACCATCATTGTTAATCATCGTCGTCGTCGTCATCACATCACATCACATTAAAGCATCGCATTATGACATCATTAAGTTATGAATCTAATTCAGATTTTTCATTAAGCAGTTTGATTAATTGATTACACACACACACGCATTTACACATACACACACATACACTAATACAAACAAACATTCACACACAGGCATCCCATATGCTTATATATATATAAATATATATATATATATATATATATATATATATATATATATATATATATATATATATATGTAA